TTGGCACGTAGCTCGACAGCCTTGGCACCATTCTTGATGGCCCTTATGGCGCGCTTGGCTAAAGGAGCGTGTCGCCCCGGTACTGCCACTTCGCTTGTGGAGTTGTTGCCAATCGTCTTGGCGAGCTCATTTGCAATCGCAACAACAAGAGGCTCTCCATCCGAGACAACATCAACCTCACGCAAGCCGAACGAATGCAAGTACTTCGCCAGATTCGCGACGGTGCTTCTTCTCCACTCGCCGCTGAAAGTTGTTGCACACCCAACGCAATAGCTGGCACTGTGAACGATCCCGATCAATCTTACATTCTTGTAGTAAAACTGCTCTATTTGCACTTCCCTACGGCTTGGAACGATTGAACGATCTTTCTCTATGCACATGCACACCACACCTACTTGAAATTCAAACCACCATCAAAACATGCTCAAGCAATGTCGCCCTCCAAAAATTCCGTTTGAGTTCCAACTGCTTTGCTAAGTGTCGGAGTTCCTCAATCTTGCAGAGTCTCCCAGTGCTCAGCTCCAAGAGCTCCATGTACCCCGCAAGGCACACTGCAGTCACTGTAGGAGGCCAATGGTGTTACCTTCCATCCCTGTCGCAAAGCCTCCAGAAGGGGGAGGTGCAGAGTCGAGGCGCTCCACTGGGGGTTTAGGGGCTTAGGGGTTTAGGGCTTTAGGGGCTTAGGGGCTTAGGGGCTTAGGGGTTTAGGGGGTTAGGGGCTTAGGGGCTTAGGGGTTTAGGGGCTTAGGGGCTTAGGGGTTTAGGGGTTTAGGGGCTTAGGGGCTTGGGGGTTTAGGGCTTCGGGGCTTAGGGGGGTTTACTCTGAGGCGTCCTATGTTATTGACGATTTGCATGTCACGCTGGAAAAAGTGGGCCCGCCCCCTAAACCCTGAACCCTAACGTTCGTGTGGCGTAAGTACAGCAACACGGGACCATCATTTACAGAACTGACCAGATGTTTTAGGGCTGACCCTAAGCCCGAATTACCCTAATGCCCTAAACCCTCAACCCAAAAAGGGATTCCCCATCAACCCTAAGGTCTTATTGCTCTAATGATGCCCTACACCCTCAACCCTAATTGCCCTGGATGCCCTAAACCGGCAAACCCTTAACCCTCAACCCAATTTGCGCCCAACAGTAACCTAGCCCCTTAAGGGGCGCTGATAAGAGAACCCAAACCCCCCCCCCCCCCCCAACAAAAAAAAAAAAAAGAAGAAAAAGGAATAAGGGCCAACTGTAGGTCCTAGACTGCCAAGATCAGGGTTCGGGCTTCTAGTGGGGTTTAGGGTTCAGGGTTTAGGGTTTAGGGTTTAGGGCTTAGGTCAGCCCTGCTGTTGCAGCACGGCAGCACGAACTCCCCGAACTCGTACCAAAACGCCGTCTTGGCAAGCGGATAGGGAGCCGTCCTGGGCGCCAATGCTCTTCAGAGGATGCTTGCGTGGCAAACCCTACGTCCCAAACCCTAAACCCTAAACCCTAAGCCCTGAGCCCTGAGCCTGAGCCCTAAACCCGAAACCCTCAAACCCCAGGGGCTTCCAGCTTTCAGGGCTTTAGGCCTTTGCTGTTGTCTCGTTTCAGCCGATCTCAAAGGATGTACCCTTACATAGGGGTGGGTTTGGGAATTTGGGTCTTTTGACTACCCTAACCCCTAAACCCTAAACCCTAAACCCTAAACCCTAAACCCTTAGCCAGTTAGCTGCCGCCATAGGGGTTTAGGGGTTTAGGATGTAGGGCTCATCGGCTCTTAGCTCAGAGTCAGGAGCCGTGCATGGGCCTTTTGAAACTCTTGGGGGGATATGTACCTAAACCACCTACCACCTACCACCTAAACCCTAAACCCTAAACCCTAAACCCTAAACCCTAAACCCTAAACCCTAAACCCTAAAGCCTAAACCCTAAACCCTAAACCCTAAACCCTAAACCCTAAACCCTAAACCCTAAACCCTAAACCCTAAACCCTTCCCGGGCGGGTTTCGTCCCAACCTTTCTGAGCCAACCCTAAGACCTTAGCATTCCCCGCTGGTTGGGCACGAGGTTCTGGGCGTTGAAGAAGGGCGCAAAGGCGAACTCCTGATGTTCGCCGGGTGTTCAACCCTCGAACCCTCTAAACCCTAAACCCGAACACCTGAACCCCCTAAACCTTGCCCTGAGCCTTAACTACTAGAACCCCTAAACCTCAAAAACCTGAACCCCTAAACCCTAGATGCAGGCTTTAGCTACAAGGCTGAGGACTTGGGGCCATGATGCCTTCAGGGGGCGGGTTGAGGGGCGTCCCCTGGTTTGGGAGATTAGGGTTTGGAGCTCCGGGGTTTAGGGTTGAGGCTTTAGGGCTTTAGGGGAGCTTCGGGTGTTTAGGGGAGATTAGGGTTTGGTTTGGGAGTTTAGGGGTTTAGGGTTTAGGGGTTTAAGGGATGAGGATTTAGGGGTTTAGGGGTTTAGGGGTTTAGGGGTTTCGGGGTTTAGGGGTTTAGGGGTTTAGGTTTAGGGCATTGTGCTCTATGGGCTTATACCTGAGGGGGTTGAGGGGCTTGCGTGGTAACCCTACACCCTAAACCCCAAAAGCTAAGCCAGAAACACGAAAAGGAACTGAAAACCAATATGGAGCCTAAACCCTGGGCCCAAACCCTAAACCCTAAACCCTAAACCCTAAACCCTAAACCCTAAACCCTAAACCCTAAACCCTAAACCCTAAACCCTAAACCCTAAACCCTAAACCCTAAACCCAAAAAAACAAGCTGCGAGGAGTTCCTGAGCCCTGAGGCCTACAGGTGTTTGGGTTCAAGGTTCCGACACACCCCAACCCACTACGGTCAACGTGGTTTGGGGTTTAGGGTTTAAGGTTTAGGGTCTAAGGCAAGGGTTTTAGGGTTTAGGGTTTAGGGTTTAGGGTTTAGGGCTTAGGGTTTAGGGTCTAGGGTCTAGGGTCTAGGGTCTAGGGTCTGGGGTCTAGGGTCTAGGGTCTAGGGTCTAGGGTCTAGGGTCTAGGGTCTAGGGTCTAGGGTTTAGGGTTGAGGGTTGAGGGTTGAGGGTTGAGGGTTTAGGGTTTAGGGTTTAGGGTCTAGGGTCTAGGGTCTAGGGTTTAGGGTTTAGGGTTTAGGGTTTACGGTTTAGTTTGCGGTGTTCAGGGTTCAGGGGGGCCGGGGATCTTCGGGCTCGGGGTACACTCTTTACCTTACACGGCCTCAAGATTCAGTTTGCACTCAAAACCGTGTGCCGGTAAACAAATAGGCAGTTTCTTAAATTATGGGTGCTTTTTGGGTTCCCATTAAAAGGCGGCACCCTTTCAAAAGGGATCCCAAAAAGGGACCCTCATGTAGAGGACCACCCAAATAGGTAAAGAAGCATGGCTACTGTGAGCCGAGGTCCAAGGGAGCTGGAGCAACCCGAGGCCCTAAACACAAATTGAGCCTCGAAAGAGGTTTAGGGTTTAGGGTTTAGGGTTTAGGGTTTAGGGTTTAGGGTTTAGGGTTTAGGGTTTAGGGTTTAGAGTTTAGAGTTTAGAGTTTAGAGTTTAGAGTTTAAAAACTCTCATCCCCTCCCGGCCATCAGATGTTGTGGGCTTTGCGTGACACTGGACCTTCGGGCTGCATGTAATCGGAATGTTTAGTAATAGGGTAGGCTGGGGCTTAATATTCGGGGGAGGGGATTACCGAGCGCCGAAAATGAGGTAGTTGGGGTTGAGGGTTGAGGGTTCAGGGTTCGTTGGGGCTGTCCAAGCCCTAAAGCATAAGCCCTCCTAGCAAGCAAGCCATGGTTGGATTTAATTGCAAGATACCTGAAGAACTCGCTTCTCCTTCGAAAAAATCTACATTGGAACGGCGACTGAACCCTGAAGCGTTCATGCCCTATGCCCTACCCCTAAACCCCAAACCCCAAACCCCAAACCCTAAACCCTAAACCCTAAACCCTAAACCCTAAACCCTAGACTTGGGATGTTTCCCTAGGGTTGCCCTGTTTCGCCCGTCCAGTCCTCTGGCACGCCGGCATCATCGAGCTCCCTGCAATGTGCCAGCTCCAGGCTCCGGTTTAAAGGTTTGAGGGTCCCTAAACCCTAAACCCTAAACCCTAAACCCTAAACCCTGAACCCTAAACCCTAAACCCTAAACCCTGAACCCCAAACCCTGGTAGGGTTTAGGGTTTCTACAGGGCCGAACGACTAAAGACACTCCCGGGTCTGGACCATCGTGGGATTTTTTTGCGGCCTACGCGCCGCCTCCGCGCGACTCAGCGGTCAGACTTCTATAGGGTTTAGGGTTTATAGGGTATAGGGTTTTTAGGGTTTTTAGGGTTTATAGGGTTTATAGGGTTTAGGGTTCGGGGTTAGGGGTTAGGGTTTATAGGGTCTATTAGGTTTATGGGGTTTATAGGGTTTGTATGGTTTATGGGGCTTAGGGTTTCGAGTAAAGCTCTGGGCTCTGGGATGAGGACTACACACACATTGCCAGTGAAGAACGTCTGACTTGCGGAGAACTGAGTACTATAGGGGCCTTAATAATTAGAATGGGGTTTGGGGGGGTTATCGTAGTATATTTATACAGGGACCATATATAGGAATGCTACTAGTACTTATTCCGAGCCCTAGTAGGGTTTTGGGGGTTACTGTCGTATATTCATAAAGGGGCCACAAGGGCATACTACTACTGCTTTTAGTAGTAATTCTTCCGAGACAAACGCGGTGTGCTCTTTGCGCCCGTGCCAGCAGGGATCCCGGTTGAGAGCGCTGATCTAAAATGACGTTCAGCCTGGCGAGGCCTTCTCCTTACTTCTCCAATAGCCAAGGGAGAAAATAACGTTAAACTTTACGATTCCGACTAAATATAAAGAAGCCCAAAAAGTTTAAAGTTCAACTCTGGGCTAGGTACCCTAAACCCTAAACCCTAAACCCTAAACCCTAAACCCTAAACCCTAAACCCTAAACCCTAAACCCTAAACCCTAAACCCTAAACCCTAAACCCTAAACCCTAAACCCTAAACCCTAAACTCTCACCGAGCCTCCAACCTCACGCCCTTCTCCGGCCCGAGCCGGCGCGAAGTGCGGGAGCTCGGCGGAGCTCCGAGAGCCGCACCGGGTCGTGCAGGCCCAACTTCCTTGGTAGCCCAGTAACCATGTTATGGGTTTAGGGTTTAGGGTTTAGGGTTTAGGGTTTAGGGTTTAGGGTTTAGGGTTTAGGGTTTAGGGTTTAGGGTTTAGGGTTTAGGGTTTAGGGTTCAGGGTTTAGGGTTTAGGGTTTAGGGTTTAGGTTTTAGGGTTTAGGGTTTAGGGTTTAGGGCCTTTATAAGGGAACCTTGAACCGAGGGTACCACTGGGCTACCAAGCTTCTTGGCCAGCTCCCGCGCCTTGGCCTCGGCCTCCGCCAGAGTCTTGAAGGCACCACCTCGCTCCCTCTTCTTGGTGCGTGGACTGGCGGGTATGACCTGGGGCTTATAGGGTATAGGGTGTATAGGGTTTACAGGATTTATAGGGTTTATAGGGTTTATAGGGTATAGGGTTTCTAGGGTTTCTAGGGTTTACAGGGTTTATTGCTGAGTTGCAATGGATGCCCCTCACTGCGGACCCGGCGGCTTTGCCGGTGATGCGCCTCGGGGGATGCAGCTTGCCCTGGCGCACCAGCTCCTCGCGGTGCGCCTTCGCCGCCTCCAGCGCGGCCGCCGCCGCCTCGTCCTCAGAGAGGCCCTCCTTCAGGTGTCCTAAACCCTAAAGCCTAAACCCTAAAACCCTAAACCCTAAACCCTCCTTCATGTGCTTGGAGATGGGGAAGTAGATCTGCCGCGACTTGCCGCCCTCCTGGACACAGAGCTGCCAGCGGCCCAGTCCGTTCCAGCTGATATTCCTTACTTCTCCAATAACCAAGGGGGAAAAAAGTTAAACCTCATGATTCCTACCAAATATAAGGCAGCCCAAAAGGTTTAAAGTTCAACTGGAACCTAATCATTCCTACTAGAAATAAGGAAACCCAAAAAGTTTCAAGTTCAACTGAAACCTCATTATTCCCACTAAATAAAAGGAAACCCAAAATTTTCAAGTTCAAGTGACACCTAATTATTCCTACGTAACATCAGGAGACCCAAAAAGTTTAAAGTCCAACTGTTGGCTAAGTACTTGGTACCCCAGGAACCATATTATGATAAGGGCACCCTTCTTGGTTGGTTAATTTACAAAGGAACCTTGAACCAACACAAAAGGGAAAAGGGTACCAATGGGCTACCAAGAGTAAACCCTAAACCCTAAACCCTAAACCCTAAACCCTAAACCCTAAACCCTAAACCCTAAACCCTAAACCCTAAACCCTAAACCCGAAGTAAGATTCTGCACCCAACTCTGGCGCTCCAGGTCTTCAGCCCTTGAGGCCCGGGAGTTGCTCGAAGCTGAGGCGTGGAGTCCTTCCTGGCTCGCCTCGGGGATTTCTTGGGGGCTTTTTGGGGGTTTAGGGTTTAGGGTTTAGGGTTTAGGGTTTAGGGTTTAGGGTTTAGGGTTTAGGGTTTAGGGTGTTTCGGGGTCTGTGGGGGGGCGGGGGGGGGGGGGGGGGGGGGGGGGGGGGGGGGGGGGGTAAGTTACTTTTAGGGTTTGGTGGGGCTTTGGGTTGTTGCAGGGCTTGTGGTTTTCTTTTCAGGATTTTAAGATATGCCGTATTTTCCATGGTTGTAGAGTTTTGGGGATATTTAGGGTCAGGCTTCTGAGGGTTTTTATTCAGTTTTTGGGGTTTTGGCCTCGCAGATCTCTTGCTGACTTGGCGGAGCGACGTGCTGCCTCTTGCTGGGACGAACCGGCTCCGCTTCTTCGCGCTTGGCCGCGCACGCGTGCTGGGCATTGTCCTCCCGCTTCGCACCGGCCCTGGGCATCAAGTGGGATGGCTAAACCCTAAACCCTAAACCCTAAACCCCAAACCCTAAACCCTAAACCCCAAACCCCAAACCCTAAACCCCCAGATGGCGTGTTTAAAACAATGACACACGATGCCACGCGAAGGTCTAAGTTCCCCTACTTTGGAGTAGACCCTGGAAAAAAGTATAGGCTTTTTAGGTATAAGTAGCTAGAATCGGAACTCAGCACCAAAATCAAAGTATTAAAGTCTAGTACTCCAAACCCTAAACCCTAAACACTAAACCCGAAACCCTAAACCCTAAACCCTAAACCCTAGACCCTAAACCCTTAAAGTGCACAATTATAAAGTCTAGTAATGCAAACCCCAGGTTCGGACTTCTTTCCCAACGCGAAAGACCGGAGGCATCCCCGAACGGTAGCGGCCTTTTGAGTGCGCTTGCAGGGTTTGGGGTTTAGGGTTTAGGGTTTAGGGTTTAGGGTTTAGGAGAAGTGTAATAGCCATGTCATGCTGAATCTAAACGACCGAGAGACCCCGAATCCAAGACGTCGCAAAGGCTGAGCGGCGCCTGTCTTTTCCATGCGAGGTCCTGCGCAAGAAGTTAGGGTTGCGGTTTAGGGTTTAGTGTTTATAGGGTGTAGGGAAGGTTCGTTCCAGGTGGTGGGGGCTGCAGTTCTTGACTTTGACTCTTTGCGATTCGTCCTTCTGATTTGGGTCCAGTTTGTTTTTTCGCATTTGTTCTGTTTTTGTTTTCTTCGTATTTGTAATGGTTTAGGGTTTTAGGGTTTGGGGTAGGGTTTAGGGTTTAGGGTTTCGGGTTTCGGGTTTATTGGTTTAGGGTTTGGGGTTTGGGGTTTAGGTTTGGGGCTTTATTCTCACCTAAAACCGGAAAAACACGAAAAAAAACAAAACAACAAACATACGAAAAAAGAACCATCAGCCTTCTGATTTCCTTGCTGGTTCAGTTCACCCTAAGGATCCATGTACCTAAATAGTACATACTGGGTCTTAAAGCGGTTTATATCAAGTAGCTTTGCCCTACTTTTTCGAGTAGACCCTGGCGAGTGAAGGTATAGACTTCTTAGGTAAGAGTAGCTATAATAGGAACCCGGTATAGTAAAGTACTCCAAAACCCATGTTAGGGACCAAGTATATACCCCGAAACCCTAAACCCTAAACCCTACACCCTAAACCCCAAACCCTAAACCTAAACCCTAAAGCCTAGACCCTAAACCCTAAGCCTAAACCCTATTATAATATAGGTGAAATGGATCCTTAGGGTCAATCTAGGCCCAGCACCACATGTGTGTGTGGCACCCGAGACGGAAGCACGTCGAGCGGAAAGGGGTTTAGGGTTTAGGGTTCAGGGTTCAGGGTTCAGGGTTTAGGGTTTAGGGTTTAGGGTAATTAGAATGGACCCTTTTTGGTACCATATAAAGTTAGTTCCTGGGTCCGACTAGCCGTATGCACCTTGTGTGCACTGGCAAAGCCAACTCCTACTTCTGAGGGCGGCACGAACCTAGAAACAAACTCCGGTTTTCAGAGTGGAAATTACAAGCAAGCCGCGCAATGGGGCACAGCCTCTCTCAGGGTGACATGTCCAGGCAAGGCCGGAAAGGGACCAACCGGCAGGCGGCAAGACAAGGCAGCAAGGGAGGACCCGAGCAGGGCCAGGTGGGGAACGGTCAATCGGAGCAAACAGGTTGCGAGGAAGGCGAGGAGGAACACCCGACGAGGAAGGCTGCAGCAACAAGGGTGGTGCGCGAAGGACCATCGTACCATATATGTATATATATATATATACATATGAGATACTCTTACATGGACAATATTGACTCAAGATCCTGCAACAGCCTGTATACTTAGATTATAGGGACCATAAGGGAATACTACTTTGTAATCATTCCCACCCCTATAGTATGAGAGCGTTCATCTTCGCCCAAAACCGGTTTAGGGTTTAGGGTTTAGGGTCTAACTTGAACAGTGTTGAGTCCAAATTCAGTTCGACGGGCTCAATTCAGTTCGACGGGCTCAGGGCCCCCCCCCCCCCCCCCCCCCCCCCCCCCCCCTTCCCCCCCGCCTCCCAAAGCTCTACCCCCCCACTCTAGACCCAAACCCGCAACCCCTCTTTCTTTCCTGGCCTCCGCTTTGGCCTCCTTCTTTGCTACTTTGACCTCCATCTTAGCCTCCTTCAGCTTCTCCTCGGCCTTCTCGACCTTCTTCTCCCACTCCTTTGCCCCTTCCTTGTCTCCTTTCTCGACGGCTTTCTGCCACTGCTTCTCCGCAAAGGCCAACCTCTGCACAGCCAGATCCCGCATCTTCAGTTCGAAGGCCACCTCTGTGTCCTGCCAGGTGAGAGTTCTGAGGCTTCAGAGAAATTCAGAAATTCAGGTTCCCTAAACCCTAAACCCTACACCCTAAACCCTCAACCTTAAACACATCAGAACAACCGGAGATAAAACCTGAACCGTAAACCCTAAACTCTAAAACCTTAGACCCTAAAGTGATGTGGGGTGTAGCTATTCTCACTGATCGGATCCCTTCTCTCAAAGCCCTGAACCCGGCATTATCTGGACCCAAAAGCTGCGAACCTTACGCTCCCAGGATGATCCCTAAGCCTTTTAAACCCTAAACCCCTAAGCGTGGTGGCTCTAAGTCTTGCAGATACTGAACCATAGCCACAAGTGCAGTGGCTGCAGGGGTTTGCCCAGTCGCTCTGGATGCAGGGTTAGCTTTTCGGTCCCGGTGCTTACATTTAGGGTTTAGGGTTTAGTATGGTTTAGGGGTACCCCTTATATACCCCCACAATATCCTGGCCCTCATTCAAGGAACGCCCGCTGGGGTTTGGCAGGCCCTAAACACGTATGGTCTAGGCAGTCAGATCCACTTCGATCTGCGGGGTTCAGGGTTTAGGGTTTCGGGTTTAGGGTTGAGGGAATGAGGTACCCTACAGTTTAGGGTTTATGGTCTAGAGCCTAGGGTTTACCCTAAACCCTAAACCCTGAACCCTGAACCCTAAACCCCAAACCCTAAACCCTAGGGCTTGGGGCCTGCCGAAGTTTGCGAGTGCCCTCTTGCCGTGGCTTCGCCAGCTTGACCGAGAGCACCGTTACCTGGGCAGCTCTCCCCCCCTCCTCCCACCACCCTAAACCCTAAACCCTAAACCCCAAACCCAAAACCCTAAACCCTAAACCCTAAACCCTAAGCCCTAAGCCCTAAACCCTAAACCCTAAACTACCCTAAACCCCCGACCTAAAAAAGCAACAAACACGAAAAGCTTACAGGGCGGAGAGGGCTCCCGCTTGCCTGTCGATCCAGTTAGGGGCTCTCAGAATTCTTCGAGCTCGGATTGAGTTTTTTGGGGGCGTTCGGGCTTTGGCTCCCTAAACCCTAAACCCCAAACCTGGAATCTTAGACGTGTTAGAGTTTAAGGCTTCTTTGGGTAGTTTATGGTCCGAGTTCTTCGGTTCCGGGCTTTCGCTTCAGGAAGTTTGGGGGTGGGGGGGAAGGAAACCCTAAACCCTAAACCCTAAACCCTAAACCCTAAGCCCTAAACCCTAAACCCTAAGCCCTAAACCCTAAACCCTAAACCCTAAACCCTAAACCCTAAACCCGAAACCCGAAACCCGAAACCCTAACCCGAAACCCGAAACCCTCAGCCAGGCCCCAAAAACAGTCCGGGGCCCAAGGCCCGGACGCCCGAAATGGAGGGGAGGGGGGGGGGGGGGGGGGGGGGTGGTTAGGGTTTAGGATTTAGGATGTTAGGGTTAAAAACCCCTAACATCCTAAATCCTAAACCAGTTTAGGCTCAAGGTTTGGATTTTGGGCGTTGAGTTTAATCTTATAAGCCCAAGCTGCGAACCCTTAAGGAATTCAACTAGCCGCCCCTAACAACTGGAAAAAGCAGAAACACCCCGAACCCTCAAAAACCCTAAGTTACCTGGGCTTGGATATCGGCGCATACTGCAACCCCGATGCGCACGAAGTTTGTTCTAGGGGGAAGGGCTTAGGGCCCTGAAACTCGAAACCTAGGAATCTTCGGGGGGGGGGGGGGGGGAATATGAATATAAGCAAGGGTTTAGGGTCTAGGGTCTAGGGTCTAGGGTTTAGGGTTTAGGGTTTAGGATTTAAGGTTTAGGGCTTAGGATTAAGGGTGCAGGGTGTAGGACTTAGGTGAATGCGATAACCAAAGTATGCCATTAAAAAAGCGTCCCGGAGCCCGAAACCGACCCTAACCCCTACACACCCAAACCTGAAACCCAAAACCCCACCCTAAGCGCTCCAAAGCCCGATAACCCTGCTCCGGGAGCAACAGTGGACCTTGAGTTGGCTCAAAAGGTTCTTGGGTTTAGGGCTTATAGAGCTTTCAGGGTTCATCGGGTTTATGGTATGTTCAGGGCGTGTTCCCCCTAAACCCTAAACCCTAAACCCTATAAACCCTAACCCTAAATCCTAAACCCTAAACTCTAAAGCGGCATTGCTTCAAGGCTTTTAGGGTTCTCACGATGGGGCTTGGGGCTTAGGGTCGGGGCCGTGGCTGTCTGGAATAAAAAAAGGGTACACTTTTTTGTTTTAGGGTTTAGGGTTTAGGGTTTTGGTTTTATTGATTATAAGGGAACTCCAGGGTCTAGAGTTTGTAGGAAGTGTTTGGTTTGAGGGTTGAGGGTTGAGGGTTGAGGGTTGAGGGTTGAGGGTTGAGGGTTGAGGGTTGAGGGTTGAGGGTTGAGGGTTGAGGGTTGAGGGTTGAGGGTTGAGGGTTGAGGGTTTAGATTGTTTTCTAGGTTTTAGGGTTTAGGGTTTGGGGCCAAAGGCGACTCCTACAACTACAGCATCGAGATCACTAAGTCACAAAAGACGAGTTGCATCAGAAGACGCCGCAGACGACATCTCTTGTAGCAACCATATGAGTTTAGGGTTTAGGGTTTAGGGCTTAGGGTTTAGGGTTCAGGGTGTAGGGTTTAGGGTTTAGGGTTTGAGGTCTAGCCTCATCAGCTGACATCCAAGCTGCCGAATAGGGCCTAGGGCTAACAGCTGCCAAGATGCGTCTGAGTCTGTCTAAAACACTACTGGCTGGGTTTGGGTTTAGGGTTTAGGGTTTGGGTTTAGGGTTTAGGGTTTAGGGTTTAGGGTTTAGGGTTTAGGGTTTAGGGTTTAGGGTTTAGGGTTTAGGGTTTGGGGTTTAGGGTTGAGGGTTGAGGGTTGAGGGTTGAGGGTTGAGGGTTGACGGTTTAGGGTTTACGGTTTCGGGGTTCCCTCATTCCCTGCTAAGAACAACATGCAGGATGTCTCGAGGCAGCGGAAATCAGTGCATAGGGGCCTCAAACCCTGAACACTAAACCCAAAACTTTTAACCCCTCTCATCTTGCTCAGGGAAAAACCGGGTAGTACCGGGTACTGGGAGTAGTCTAGTCTAGGGTTTAGGGTTTAGGGTTTAGGGTTTAGGGTTTAGGGTTTAGGGTTTAGGGTTTAGGGTTTAGGGTTTAGGGTTTAGGGTTTAGGGTTTAGGGTTTAGGGTTTAGGGTTTAGGGTTTAGGGCTTAGGGCTTAGGGTTTAGGGTTTAGGGCTTATTAGGGTTTCTGAGCCCTCCACCCCTAGGGCAGCGTTGTACTCAGAATCCGTCGACTCTCGGGGTAAGGTTTAGGGCTTGTAGAGAAAACCTAAACCCTAAACCCGAAACCCTAAACCCTAAACCCGAAACCCTAAACCCTAAACCCTACACACCTAAACCCTGAACCCCCTCAAAAACATGCAGGAAACCAGTCCGCAGCCTCCTTGCGAACCCTGAGCCCTAAACTCCTCCTAAGTTCTACAAGCCCTTGCTGCAAGCGGTTTAGGGTTTAGGGCTTAGGGTTTAGGGTTTAGGGCCCTAGGGCTATCAGAGCTCCAAATTTGGGAGATGATCCGGTGACCGGTGCATTTAGCGACCTTGCCCTCCCCTCTCCCGCCCACCCCATCATAGTACGAACTGGACCGTCCTAAGGCAAAACAACTTCTAAACCCTATAAGCCCTAAACCCTAAACCCTAAGCTCTATACCCTATAAACCCTAAACCCTAAGCCCTAAGCCCTCAAACCCTAAAAGATAAGTCCTACAAAGTTCCTGAGTGCGGCCAGTTGTTTGAGCTCCTCTATCTGCCCAAGCGCAATAGCGTCTGCTGAAGGATTTCATGCGCATGATGTGGCATTGCCCCGGTGAGGGGGGGAGCCGCGCGGCAGGAGGAACACGGGCACACTCATCGTAAGAGCATATATTATGTGGCAACGCACCAATCCTGCACCAATCCGGCAATGCAAATGCTCAGGGACTGTGTGGGGAGGCGGGTTGCGCGAGACCCTTCCTTGCTGGGAGCCATGGCAGTCGACGAGGGCCGTGTCGGCTTCGCTGAATCCGTTCCCGCAAGGCGCCTGCGACACAAGCGCAACACCTCGCTCACGAGAGGCAAGCCAGGCAAACACAGTGCCCACGACACCGTGCGCGGAGAGCCGCACGAAACGGAATACCATGCGCATCTCCTTTGGCAGTGGCGGCGCCGTTCCTGCGATCCATCCTCTGCAGACAGGGTCTGGCAAGGCTTGGCTATGAAAGAGAGACCCAGTCGCGCGCTGGGTGCCATCCTGAAAGTCTTGAGTCCAACAATACGCTGACATGTCCATTTCGGGCTTGGGCACTTGCCTGCAGCTACTGCCGCTTCTGCAGCCACAGCAGCCACTCAGCGCACCAGTCAGGAGCCGGATGGAAACTTGAGCACCTTGTCGTCGTATGTGACAGCGCGAACTCCAAGAGCATGCCGAGCATGCCTCTCTAGACCAGCACTTGCTGCTTGGAGCAGCGTTCCGAGACAGGCATGGGCTTACCGAAGGCCAGGGAAGAGGCAGCCAAGAGGAGGGGCAAGTCACTGGCGCACACGGGCGGCTTCATCATGCTGGATACAGTGTCCACCCCCGCAGATGGACGCGAAGGCGTCTTGTTGCTATAGATCCGGCAGCCTGCAGCTTGAATCAGTGATTTGAGACAGTTTGGGCTCACCGAACTCGTTTAGGGTTTAGGGTTTGGGAAAGTGGCAGCCCCCCAAAGGGACGGCTCGTGCGCGCGGGCAGCTAGGAACAAATTAAATACTCGTGCCTGTCGACTTGGGAGTAGTGAGCCAACACGCTCCCAAGACCTCCACCCTAAACCGACCCTGCATCAAGGACTTGTGGAGACTGTCCGGCCCAACTTGCACACTTCTCGGCATGGGGATCCCGAAAACCGGCGTTCCAGACTCACGCTCCAACACAGGAAATCGTCCGAGTATGCAGGCAGCTCGAGGCCAATCGAGCCTCTCGCAACACCGAACCTGGCCCGCCGCAGTCGAAAACTTGCAAGTACCAACACAGGATAGCACAGGAAATCGTCCGAGCATGCAGGTCGAGCACGAGGTGAAATCTGGCAACACCGACCTTTGCAGCCGAAGACTAGCAGCTACCTGCTCGAACCCTGCTACGAAGTTGTTGATTCGCCCGTGGGCTCGGATCTGATCGAAACTACACGCAATCAGAGATGCATGAATCTTCGCGTCGGTCGTGCTCGTGCTCGTGCTACTTTCCTAAATAGCACGAGCGTTGGAAACTGCGCTGCACTTTTCCCGGAAGACTACTTCGAGTTGTCCGTGGGCAACTATTCTCACCGAAGCTTCTACTTCACCCTGCAGGAGAAATGAGAAGGTGAAAGAGGCGCCATGAGCGCGAAAAGGCCGCCAAAAATCGGCAAGCAGGTTCTTTATGAAAAGCCGCACACTGCAGGAGCTGCAATGCTGCTCCGACTAACCTGTCTGCAGTCTGCGCGAAAATGCTTCCGAACTGGAGCGTGGGGTGCTCTGGAGGGCCTCAAAATGCAGCATCGCAAGAAGTCAAGCTGTCGTGGCCAGCATTGGCGGAGTGATGTACAAGATTGGGTTAAGCGTGTCAGGGATTCGCTCTCGATGTATCGAAATCTCCGGATTATCAAGGCATCAGGTACCCTGAGCTCAGCTTGGCTCAGGAGCCAAGAAGTGCTAGACAAGCGCAAGCTCCGAGGGGCTTGCTTCCGTGACCTCATGGCCTCACGGGCATTGCTTGCTTGCACAGCACAAAAGGCATCATGCTAGGCGTAGTCCCGCGCTGTGCCCAAGCTCACAGCAGACCGGCCAATCCTCCTAGCACAGCGGGCATTTCAACCGAGCTTCCAAGGAACGGCTCTACCTGGCCACTCTTGCAAGGGTGATTGCGACTGGCATTTAACCAATCTTGCGGGATGTCGGCTGGCTCCGTGAATCTGCTGCAGGGCGCAAGTTCGGTTCAAATCATGGCCTTCCTTGCCGAGAGGTGTGCATTCGTTTGAGTGTACTGACGACTAGATCTGTGCAGGTATATAGACAAGAATCATCAGGGACAGTGTGAGAACATCGCAAAAAGCCATCCCATTGGCCATGATCTGAAGATATTTCAAGTTGCGGGGTTTAATCTGTACGCCTACAAACCCTTCAAACCCTCGAGCCCAGCAACTCACATGGAACGATCCAGGGAAGTGTTGAAATTTAGGGTTTAGGGTTTAGGGTTTAGGGTTTAGGGGGCTGCCAGGAGGATGCTGCAAGCACATTGCGGCAGCCGTTGCCAGCCGAGCTCGGACAGCGACATTGTGGAAAGCTTGCAAGTGTTCGCGGCGCATGGGTTCGTTTTGGCTTCTAGTTCTGGCCATACTGGGTTGAGGGAGCATGTGTGCGCGTGCTAGATATCTAGGGCTCCAAGTACGCAAATAACACCTACATTTGGGGTCTATTTGGGGAAAACAAAGGTAGGCAACACTTAGACCGGACAAGGGATGCACCCAAAACTAAGTTCGCCTAAGCCCCTGCCCCTTCGTACGAAGCCCCGTGCCCTTCTGCTAACTTCGTAGAACCTTCCCTGAGTTCGCAGGGCCATCTGCTCTCCATGGCTTAGTCTTCCAGCTAACCCTTGGGCCCTTCGTGAACCTTTCGTCGGGTTCGCAGAAGTTCGTGGCACCCAGTGCTGCCCCGCTAAGTTCGTGGAATGGGTGCCTGTTGCCCGTCAGACAGTTACCTACCTCCGTGTTGCCCTGAGTCTAAAGTCTGCAAATCACTCCTACTTCCGGCTGCCTGGAGCCTTGGGGAATGGGGAGTCGGCAGGCGCGCGGGGCACGAGCATACCCCGTGCATTCGAGGCTACCGGCCATCAACCGGCTGCCAGCGTAATTGCAGGACAGTAGGTGTGAAACTCCTAAGACTTCGAGCCCCGAAGTTGACGTTGAACAATTCTATGGGATTCTATGGAAGTGCCGAAAAAGCCTAAACCCTACACCCTAAGGGTTAGGGTTTAGGGTTTAGGCCGAAAAAACCTACACCCTATACCCTCAACCGTAGCTCCCATGAGCCGATGTTACAAGCAATATACGGCGGCAGCTGGAGACAGTCGAACTCGGACAGCTTTATTGCGGAAAGTTTGCACATGTACGCGGCACATGGGTTGATTGCGGCCTGTCGCAGCTCTGTCCATAATCTTGAGTTCCGGCCGCGAGCGCGTGTGCGTGCTACGTGGGGAGTGGGCAAACACGAGGTACATGGCTGGCTGGGCCTGTAAACCATAAACCCTACAGCCTAAACCCTAAACAGATACCTTGTAGCAGCAATATTCACGTTCAGCATGCTGTGGATCGAAAACCGCCATGTGCTGCCATGCAAAACAAGTATGAAGTCTGAGAACTGTGCTGCTCACGAGAAAAAATTGCCAGGCCGCCATCAACCAGGGTTCAGGGTCTAGGGTTTCGGGTTATGCGGTTTACGGCTTAGGCTGTTTAGGGTTTTGGGTTTAGGTTTCAGAGTGTAGGGGCACTCATGCAGCTGCAGGGCCTTGTGAGGTACGCCTGGCGACTGCCCGGCCTACTAAGCACAATCACTCTTGCAGCTTAAGCACTCCTGCAGCTTCTTCCTGGGTTGCCTCAGATTAGGGCTTAGGGCTTAGGGTCTAGGGATTTAAGGCTTTAGGGTTCGCAACTAGATGTCTATGCATGGGAGGCCAGAAGTCGGCTTGCCTGGCGAACGCAGCTCGTATCACGCGCATTCCGTGTTGTGGCAGAACGTGGCGACACCGTTCCCTCGATCCATCCTTTGCACACAGGGTCTGGCAAGGCTTGGCTATGAAAGAGAGACCCAGTCGCGCGCTTGGTGCCATCTTGACGGTGTTGAGTCCAACAGCACACCGACTACACCGACATGTCCATGTCGGGCTGGGGCACGTGCCTGCAGCTACTGCAGCCACTGTAGCCTCTGAGCACAACAGCCAGGAGCCAACAAGCGCTCCAACAGACCGCCCGATCCAACTTACTCACGCCTTGGCGAAAATCGTCTGAGCATGCAACTCGAGGTGAAGCCTCTCGCAACACCGACCTTGGAATGACACCCACCAGTCGCAGCCGAAGATTTGCAACTACCTGCTCTCGCACCCAGCATGCTGCTGCAGCACTTAAGCTCCAGAGATCAGTCTTGTTCGTGCACCTGGGCGCCGCCTTATGATGGGTACCCAAAAAGGGACCCTAGTTTAGGAGACTACCCATGAGCTTCTGCATGCCAACGTGCCACACAGCAAGCAACCTCCAGCGCTGATTAGGGCTTTAGGGTTCTGGGGTTTCGGGTCTATAGGGCCAGAACCCAAGCGCCAGGCAAACTATGGGTCAATGCCAAGCCTGCAGGCTTAGTTGAAAAAGGCGGTGGGAGACTTTCGTAGGTCCCAAGCTGAGATGTCTCAGAGGGGCTGGAAAACGGCAATCGCAGATCTGTACGCTGCACATAGGTTGATTTCGGCGCCTTTGCTGCACCGTGGGTTCAGGGTTTAGGGTTTAGGGCTTTAGGGCTTGGGGATGCGCATGTGTGCATACTAATTAAGTGCTGGAGTCGTTGGAAAGAACGTGTGCCTGAGCACATTATGCACATTCCATGCAGGCGTTGCACTGTTTGAGGTGCATGAGTGTCCATTCCTGTGAGCTACCTGGTTACCTGGTGCCAGTAATGTTTGCGTTTAGCCGTGCAGTGGTGTACGCAGCTGTGCACACACAGGGAAGAAAAATGGGAGCCTGAAAACTGTGCTGTTCACGAAAATTCATTGCCAAGCCACCATCAACTAGGCACTCTTGCAAATGCCGAGCCTTGGGAAGTAGGCCTGGCGATTGCCTGGTGAGCACTTGCATCCTACACTTCACAAACGCAGCACAAGCGCAAGTACTTCTGCCTGGGTTGCCTCAGATTAGGGTTTAGGGTGTAGGGATTAGGGTTTAGGGTTTAGGGATGTATGGCTTTAGGATGATTGCGGCTGCCCTGTAACCAATCCTGCTGGACGTCGGCTGGGTCCGTGAGTCTGCTGCAGCGCGCAAGTACGGTTCAATCATGGCCTACTTTGCCGCTGAGAGCTGTGAATTCGTTTGAGTGCATTGACCACTAGATCTGTGCAGGTATATAGACAAGATTCAGGGGCGGTGTGAGAATATCCCAAAAGCCCAAAGGCCATCCCCTTGGCCATGATCTGAAGATATTTCAAGTTGCAGGATTTATAAGCCTGTACCACTGTGGGCCCTCAACCCTCGAGCCCAGAAGCTCAGAAAGAACGATCTAGCGAAGTGTTGAATTGTCTGGCGTCGGCTGCCATGGGGATGCTGCATGCGCATTGTAGCAGCTGGGGCCAGTCGAGCTTGCTCAGCCCTGGGTTCATTTCGGCCCTTGGCAGCTCTTTCCAGACTGAGTTGTAGGGATTAGGATTTAGGGTTTAGGGTTTAGGGTTTAGGGTTCAGGGTTCAGGGTTTAGGGTTTAGGGTTTAGGGTTTAGGGTTCAGGGTTCAGGGTTTAGGGTTTAGGGCGCACACGTGTGTGTGCTAAGCGGTGACGCGGCACAACACGTGCAGTATCCTCCAGCCTGCGCACAGACAATACAGGGACAGAGCTGCTGGAGCTGAAAGAAAACCCACCATGCACTCACGCGACTGCCATTGCAGGACGGTGGGCAAAAACATCCCGAACCCTCGAGCCCGGAAGATCACGCTGAACGGTTGGGGCATGTGTTGGAACCCTGGGTGTCGGCATACATGAGGAATTTGCAAGCAGTTTGTGGCAGGTGGAGCCAGGCGAGGTCAGATATACTGCGGAAAGTTTGCACGTGTACGCGGCATATGGGTTCATTCCGGCCTCTGCCAGTCCTGCCCATATACTGAGGGGAGGGCGCAGCTGAGAGCGTGCTAAGTGGGGAGTCAGCGCAAGCGCATACAGCAGTCTCGAGCCTGAGCACAGACCACACTAGTTGCTTTAGAACCCCCCAAAAAATGATCCTCCTTCTAAGGGCAACGTAGGGATTTTAACTTTTTACTTTTTGGGGGTTCTTAAGCAAATAGTAAATAGTCGCATACAGGCATATGGAGGTTTGAGCCCGAGCTGGGCCACCTGAACCTGTCTTGAATGCCCTCCCCCAGGCACGGCCGCGTCAACGGCACACCATTGCGGCGGCTACGGCGAAGAAGGTTTAGGGTTTAGGGTTTAGGGTTTAGGGTTTAGGGTTTAGGGTAGGATTCCATGAAGCTCTTGGCCATGTGGACTGGCCGGAAAGAGAAATGCGAGATGCAAAGCTGTGTCGTTCACGAAAGCTGCCAGGGAGTCATCCACCAGGCACGCACGCCACTGCCATTGCAGGACTGTGCGCCTACACATCCTGATAGCCGTGCGACACCACTAGCTTTGCTCTTTTCTCAGCACATCATCCCAGGGAGCCATCCCAGAGACCTGGACCTAAACGGAGCCATGCTACCCCCCTTCCCCTCCAATGTCGCCACATGCGCAGGGCTTGCGACGCAACAGAGATCTTCCAGAAGGCCCCGGGCGAGTGATGAAACCCCACCTATACTGAACTTGGAACCCTAGCAAAAATTATAATCTTAGTTGTTTCTTAGGAATTGAAGTGCCCAAAATGAAAACTTGTTTCCAAGCACCCCGAAGCCACGAGGATGTTGCAAGTAAATCGATGCAGTGGGAGCCAGCCGAGCCCGGACACTTGTATGGCGGAAAGTGCGCAATTGCACCCCCCATGTGGGTTGGTTTAGGGTTTAGGGTTGAGGGTGTAGGGTGTAGGGTTTAGGGGTGTAGGGTTTAGGGTCTTGACTCAGACCTCATTGTCGAGATTGGCACGTGTGCCACATCAGGAAGGGACTTCCACTCCCGCGCAAGGGCGAGCACCAAGAGCCGTAACGAGCCAGGTGCTCGTCGAAGGGCCCAGATAGTCTAGCCTATTCCAGCAACCCTAAACCCGACAGACGCGAAACCCTAAACCCTAAACCCTAAACCCTACACCCTAAACCCTAAACCCTAAACCCTAAACCCTAAACCCGAAACCCTACTGGCCAGATTGACGCCCTCCAACTCCGAGAGGGCCAACAGCGCAGCCCTCAGAATGCCTCGGCTTGCGCAGAACCGGCACGTCCGGGTGTGGGGTTTAGGGTTTAGGGTTTGGGGTTTAGGGTTTAGGGTTTAGGTGCAGGCCCTTGATTGCGAGAACTGGTTTAGGGTTTAGGGCTAGGGTTTAGGGTTTCGGGTTTAGGGCGGTTCGGCTCTGCAACCGGCCTCACAATCATGGCCTCCGCATCTGCATGAAGCAGCCGCTGCTGCTTGTAGCTTGATTCTGGCCCTCCCCAATGTGTTCAGGATTAAGGGGGCTGCAAAATTGAGCTGCCAGGGCCTGACGTCCCTGAATCCTGTCACTCCGTAAATTCGGAACGAAACAGACAGCCCGACAGTTTGGTCAATCTCAGGATGTGCAGGCGAAACAAGGGACATGTGCTTTTCTGCGTTGAGAGTCCTGCTGGCCATGTAACCGGAGACTCGTGGCTAACCACCCATACCAACCCCAAAAAATGGAGATGGATACTTGCACATCAAGACCCGGGAACCTGCCTGTCTCCATGTACTAAAGCGCGAGAAGTTTTTGGCACGCCAATGCTTTCGAGAAGAGTGGAGCCTCCTTCGGTCGCAGGACTGTTGGTGCGCAGGATGTCATCCTAAAATCTTACAAGTGGACATGGGAACTTCAGCTGTGCCTGCCACAAGCCGACTTTTCAGGAAACACAGCTCTTGCGCGTGCTGTTGCACGCTGCTCGCCACCTCTGCATGCGACATCGAACAAATCAAAGGAGCAGCTTGATCTAAGTTCGGAGGGGCACAACTGCTTGAGTAAACTGGAGCTGAAACCTCATTGTCGAGATTGGCATGCTCTGGGATGCCTGACGTGGGCATAATCAGAGGAGAGTCTTCCACTCCTGCGCGCAAGCGAGCACGAAGAGCCTGATGCTTGTTGAAAGGCCAAAATAGTCGATTCTGGCTTTCAAAGCCTGCGGGCCAGTCGGCACATTGTCTGCAAGAGTCCACAGAAACACGCGCCCAGCGCAAGAAGCTCGAGCAAGCGCCTTGATGCGTTTAGCCCTCCGGGGGCCATTCTCGCAGCACGCTGTGTCTATCAGCGGAGGGACTTCCACTCCCAGAAGCGGGCGAGCACAAAGAGATGCAAAGAGCCTCGTGCTTTTTGCAGGGCCAGGAGCGTCTAGTATAGCTTTCCGGCACATTGCCTGCCAAGCCAACTGATTTGCTCAGCTCTGACAGGGCGAATGCTTGGAAGCTCTCTTGTTCCCCCCTCGAAAGAAAACCCACAATCCCGGACTCCGCATCTGCATCAACCAGACCCAAGAATGACCTCAAGGGGCTTCTAGTCTAGGGGAACCTTGACCCTAAACCCATAAACCCATAAACCCTAAACCCCCACCCCCCCAAAAAACAAAAAGGAATGAGGGCCTGTACCCTCTGGGTCCGAGTCAAGCAGTCCGCTGCTTGCGGCTTTAGGCGGGCCACGTCGATCGGAGCAAAATCTATCTTCTTGCAAGTTCAGCTGCACCTGCTACAGGGTTTAGGGTTTAGGGTTTAGGGTTTAGGGTTTAGGGTTTAGGGTTTAGGGTTTAGGGTTTAGGGTTTAGGGTTTAGGGTTTAGGGTTTAGGGGTGAAGGTTTTAGGGGTTAACGGTCGCAGGGTTTCGGGGTTTAAGGTTTAGGGGCGGGGTTGAGGGGTTTAGGTTTTAGGGGTTTAGGGTTTGAGAGTTTTAGGGGTTTAGTGTGTTGGGGTTTAGGAGTTTGGGTCTATGCTGCTGGGGCAGGGGGCATGATCCATCATCTGCATCGCAGCTACAGGGGCCCCACCCTGTCAACCCTGCAGACCCTCAAGCCCCTAAACCCTTATGAACCTAAACCCTAAACCTAAACCCTAAACCCTAAACCCTAAACCCTAAACCCCAAACCCCAAACCCCCAAGCCCCAAACCCTAAACCTAAACCCTAAACCCAAACCCTAAACCCTAAACCCAAACCGAAGCGAAAACACCCTAAGTCATGCGCGGGACTTGCCCGGCACCTGCGTGCGAGGATGCGTTCTGTCACTTCTCCATGGGGGCCAGGTGCCTGAGGCTGCATCTGTGCTTGAGCTTCGAGGATGTTCTTCACAGACCTCCATACCCCAAACCCCAAACCCTAAACCCTAAACCCTAAACCCCAAAACCCTAAAGCCCTAAAACCCTAAGACCCTAATACCCCAAAATTTCGGTGCAGGGATCGAGGTTCGAAATCCTGCGCTCCTTTGGCCACTACCACCCACACCCACCCATGGACAGTTAGGATTTAGGGTTTAGGTTCGGGGTTTGGGGTTCGGGGCTTAGGATTTATGGTTTAGGTTGTTTTTTAGGGTTTAGGGTTTAGGGTTTAGGGATTAGGGCTCACGATGAAGAGATGATCGGGGGGGGGGGCGGGGGTTGAGGGCGGGAGGTCGCTCTGCAGCAGTCTCAAGCATGAGTGCTGCTACAGTGTAGAGCCTGCTTCTAATGGAGTTGACAAGTTGGACCTGTGGTAATCCCTGAACCCCAAACCCCCCTAAACCCCAAACCCCAAACCCCAAACCCCAAACCCCAAACCCCAAACCCCAAACCCCAAACCCCAAACCCTAAACCCTAAACCCTTTAGGTTTTTGCTTGGGCCCGCGTGGGACTGCGGAAGCTATTGAGCTTCCTGCGATCCTAGCGTGCTGAAGACCCTTTCCCATCAAAGGTCAGCCCTGTATATATAGTAGGAACCCCAAACCCTAAACCCTAAACTCTACATCCTAAACCCTAAACCCTAAACCCTAAACCCTAAACCCTAAACCCTAACCCTAAACCCTAAACCCTAAACCCTAAACCCTAAACCCTAAACCCTAAACCCTAAACCCTAAACCCTAAACCCTAAACCCTAAACCCTGAACCAGAAAAGGTTGAAGGTTACCTACCCAGTCCCTAAGGATCACCCTGAAGAGCTGTTCGATAAACTGCAAGCTCGCGTCGCCTGGATCTGCGGCTCACCAGCCTTCGCCCGCCTCAGGGTTTAGGGTTTAGGGTTTAGAGTTTAGGGTTTAGGGTTTAGGGTTTAGGGTTTAGGGGTTGAGGGGTTGAAGGGTTGAGGGGCTTAGGGTTTAAGGGTTTAGGGTTCAGGGGTTTAGGGCTTAGGGTTTAAGGGTTTAGGGTTCAGGGGTTTAGGGTTCAGGGGTTCAGGGGTTTAGGGTTCAGGGGTTTAGGGGGTTTAGGGCGTTTAGGGGGTTTAGGGGTTGAGCGGTTTAGGGTTTAGGGTTTAGGGTTTAAGGTTTAGGGGTTTAGGGGTTTAGGGGTTGAGGGTTTAGGGTTTAGGGTTTTGGGGTTTTGGGGTTTAGCGGTTTTGGGGTTTAGGGGTTTGGGGGTTGAGGGTTTAGGGGTTTTACGGGTTTAGGGTTCGGGGGTTTAGGGTTTAGGGTTTGTGGATTTAGGGTTTAGGGTTTCAGGGCTTAAGGGTTAAGGGTTTTGAGGCCGTCCCAGACACCGCGCAGATCTTCTCCCTAGTGTCTTCAGATCCCGAGCTACTTATGCGCGTCACGCGACAATACCGGGCTTAGTTATGAAATGTCACCAACCATGATTTACATGATGATAGTGATATCGACCACTTTCACCCTAAACCCTAAACCCTAAATAAACCCCAAACCCTAAACCCTGAACCCTAAACCCAAAACTTAAAACCCTAAACCCCAAACCCCAAACCCCAAACCCTAAACCCTAAACCCTGACCCTACACCCGAAACCCTAAAGCCTAAAGCCTAAAGCCTAAACCCTAAACCCTAAACCCTAAACCCTACCCCGCACCGCAACCCTAAACACCCTGAAAGCTTTAAACCCTGGGTGCTTGTGGGTAACGACTAAGGCTCTGGCAACCGCCGACATGGGACGCGCCCAGCTTGCAGCAAGCCTCGTTTCCAAAGCCATGTTAGGGTTTAGGTTTTAGGGTTTAGGGTTGGATGGACCACCGGCAAAAATCACCTTGAAGGGCACTCCTTACCAAAAAGAAGGATGGGCCAGGCATGTTGAACGACCACTGAGGTTAGGGTTTAGGGTTTGGGGTTTAAACCCTAAACACGAACCCCCGAAGACCTTCAGGACCCTTGTCGGCAAGGGCTCAGGACTCAACGAATAGAACTGCTAACCAAGCTTTGGGCTCATGGTTGAGGGTTTTACCCTAAACCCCAAACCCTAAACCCCAAACCCTAAACCCCAAACGCTACATCTAAACCCGAAGCCCTACCCCTCGAACCCCTACGTCCCTAAACCCCTGACGGTTTAGGGTTTAGGGTTTAGGGTTTAGGGTTTAGGCTTTAGGGTTCCCTCCCGTCAACCAAGATCGAGGACCATGCACCATCAACCATAGCTGCCCCCCGGGGTGCCCCAGCAACTTGGGAAATACAAAAGGCTCCCTTGTGAGGGGTTCATGGCGGGTTTAGGGTTTAGGGTTTATAGGGTATAGGGTATAGGGTTTAGGGTTTAGGGTTTAGGGTTTAGGGAACCTAGGGGCCCACCAAAAGAAAATGAACCCGTTGGGAGCAGCTATTACTTGCAACTAACCCAGTGAAACGACGCTTCTTATGGCAAATCGGACCCCTGCACCCTAAACCCTAAACCCTAAACCCTAAACCCTAAACCCTAAACCCTAAAACCACGAACCTCTACACACTCGCGCACACACACACAGAGAACTCGCCTGTCTGACGAGCCTGCACCCCATAGCGCTGGCTGCTAGAATCATGTTTCGATTCCTGATCCCTGTCGGCTTGTGGGTTCTGATCCTTGCCGCCTAAGACCACACTGAGCCTTTCTGAGGATTTCGGGTTTAGGAATGTTTAGGGTTTGGGGTTTGGGAATATAGGATTAGGGTTTGTGGATCTTGTATGGCAGACCGCTGTGTGCAGAAGCTCAGCACGACTCACGTAGCTACTTACTGATTCGGAGACTATCGCCATTTTTCAGCCAGCCAGCGGCATTGAGTGTACGGAGGCTTTACTGGCTATACTTGGTAGCACAATGACCGTATGAGAATACGGGTTTAGGGTTTAGGGAGGGTACCCTGTTTGAGGTTGGTTACAGTATAGGGGAACCTTGAACCAAAACGGGGGGGCAACAGGGTTCCGCTGGGCACGCAAGTCTAGGCCCTAAACCCTAAACCCTAAACCCAAAACCCTAAACCCTAAACCCTAAACCCTAAACCCTAAATGGGAAGGAAGGTGCGGCGGCAGTACTGCGCTTCTGCACTAAGCCCTAGCTCTGAACGGTATGTTGCGCATGCACTGGATAGTCTGACTCTGAAAGATCCTATGACCTAATTCAACACGCCCTAAACCCTAAACCCTAAACCCTAAACCCTAAACCCTAAACCCTAAACCCTAAACCCTAAACCCTAAACCCTAAACCCTAAACCCTAGACCATGAATGAAGTTGAGAGTTCGGGTTCAAGATACTTACTTGACGACCACCGGAAGCTTGGGGGGGGGGGGGGGGGGGGGGTAGTTTAGGCTTGACTCTGTTCCCCTTCATTCCTAAGCCCTATAAGCCCTACAAACCCTGTCAACCCTTTATAAACCCTTGATAAACCCATAAAACCCCGCATAAACCCCTATAAACCCCATGAGCCCTATAAACCCACTCCTCAGCCCCTCGTCAAACTCAATCCAAAGCCCTAAGACCTCCCATCTTACAGCCCTAACTAAAAGCTTCCTAGCCTGTTGGGGGTTTGGGGTTTGGGGTTTAGGGTTCAGGGCCCAGAGCGCCTAAACTACCAGGCCCTAGTGCCATTCTAGTGCCTATGCGCCATGTCTTGACCCAGGGTTAGGGATTTGCAGGGGCTGGGCTGTTGGGGCGCGAAAGCTTCCAGTGCAGGCCGACTGCTTGCAGCTGGGTCTAAGTAGCCATCTCCCTAAACCCTAAACCCTAAACCCTAAACCCTAAACCCTACACCCTAAACCCTAAACCCTAAACCCTAAACCCTAAACCCTAAACCCTAAACCCTAAACCCTAAACCCTAATCCTAAACCCCCATTTATAATGAATTCTTACACAAACGGGATCCCTGACATGCGGAGTCTGCAGATTTGCTGAGTAAGCTCGTGCGCCCAGGGATCCTGGCAAGAGAGAGAAAAAGAGACCCTAAACCCTACACCCTAAACCCTGACCTAAACCCTATAAACCCTAAACCCATTCAACCCTGCTGCACAGACCGGAGGCGCATCGCTTCAGGAGGATATGCCCTGCTGTGCACCTCAATATTGCTTCCGAGACCGCTTGGCTCGCTCCCTCTCCTTCTCCTGCCGCTTGCGCCAGGCCACCGCCTTCTTCCAGGCCTTCTGCACCTCCTTCTCCGAGAGATCCTTGGGCCGGAAGATCTTGCACCTGTTCTTCCCTTTGACAAGGCAACGTGCATACCAGGCCTGCGCACGGATTTGCCATGCCACTCCCTGCTCCGGCCCGAGCGGCTCGAAGCGCGGAAGATCCGAGAGCTCCACCGGCACCACCTGCCCGTGCAGCTGCTTGCGCAGGCCCAGCTTCTTCGCCAGCTTCCGCGCCTTAGCCTCGGCCTCCGCCAGCGTCTCGAAGCTGCCGCCATGCTGTAGCTTCCTGGTGCGCGGATTGCGGAGTTGGACGAGAAACGATCCAGTTGGTGTGCGACGAACGCCCCTCACTGTGCTTGTGAGGGGCTTCGGGTGCTTCAGCTTGCCCCGGCGCACAAGGTCCTCGCGGAACGCCTTGGCCTCCTCCAGCGCGGCCGCCACCGCCTTTTTCTCAGAGAGGCCCTCCGCTAAATGCTTGGAGATGGGGAAGCGGACCTGCCGGTTCTTGCCAGCTTCGGTCCAGCTGACGCACCAGAGCGCGGTATGTCGGTTCCAGGCGATGTTTCGCACCCTCGTTAGTACGGGGCCTCCGCGTGCTGCGGTCTCGGAGCCCGTCGAAGCTGAGGCGTCGGCGGCCGCCCGGCTCTCTGCGGGCGCGGCGCCAAAGGACTCGCTGGACTGACCGATGCGACGCCTCTTGCTAGGGCTTATCGTCCCAGCCTCCTCGGCCTCTTCTGCTTCGTGCTTGACCGCGCACGCCTGCTGGGCCTTGCACTCCCGCTTCCTTCCGGTCCTTGGCATAAAAGTGGGACTGCTTCACCACAAACCGCACTTGCTGGGTTTCTGCAGCGTGCGAAGCGCAAGAAGTGTAAACAAAATAGCGCCAAAGGTGTAGACACGGGACTTCTTCCCAGAGCGCAGACAGGAAGCCCTAAACCCCGACTGAAACCGTAAGGATACAGGTCTGGGAATTTGTGTTTCAGAGCTGTGGGCCTCAAGAGGCTAAGCCCCCTAAACCCTAAACCCCGAACCGGCAAAAAGGGGAGGGGGTGAGATCCGGTAGCCCAAAGCGACCCTGATCCCAAGACGCTTCAAAGCTGAGCGGCTCCTGTCTGTTCCATGTGAGGTCCTGCACCAAAATCAGGCTTAGGGTTTAGGCTTGAGGGTTTAGGGTTCAGGGTTTAGGGTTTACGTCGCATGTCTCCAACGGCACTCCGCATGGCTTCAAGCAACACAACTTGCGTGGGTATGTGTTTGTCTTCTCTTTCTGATCGTATAAACAGGGTCTGTAAAGTGCTATTACCCCAACAACGAGGGCTGTAGTATAACAGGGCTTCTAGAGTTGGGGTTGGCAATACTGCACCTGCTGACCCCTCCCCACTCCTCCTTGACCTCCTCCTTTGCTTCCTTGACCTCCGCCTTGGCCTCCTTGATCTTCTCCTCGGCCTTCTCGACCTTCTTCTCCCACTCCTTTGCCCCTTCCAAGTCTCCCTTCTCAATGGCTTTCTGCCACTGCTTCTCCGCGAAGGCCAACCTCTGCACAGCCAGCTCGCGCAGCTTCAGGGCGAAGGCCACCTCTGTGTCCTGCCAGGTCCCATGCTACAGACCTGCACGCTGCTCCCAGAGGGTGGCAGAAGCATGCTTCAACTACAATTCATGACCAGGGAAATAGGGGAAACCCCACCAAAAGCAGAAGTGCAGGTGGTTTAGGGTTTAGGGTTTAGGGTTTAGGGTTTAGGGTTTAGGAAGGCTCAGCTCCTGCTTGACCGTCTGCTTTGTGCCCGCAGCGCTGCCAGCAGTGTCCTGCGTCAGTGGAAAACAGAAAGAAGTAGGGGATGGCCATGGCCAAAACCTATAGGGTTTAGGGTTTAGGGTTTAGGGTTTAGGGTTTAGGGTTTAGGTGCTGCCCGATGATTACCTAGACTAGAAGGCCTGGCTGAACTCCTGTAGCACCGAAAACCTTCACTCGTCGCCCCAGAGCCCTACTGGACTCCGAAGTTTAGTGGTACCAAGAAACTGACATAGGGGTTTCCAAAAATAAGCGGCCCCGTTGTTGCGAGATGCCCAGTTCGAGAGTTTTAGGGGTTCTGGGTATGTCTGGTGAGAGCTCTTGGAGTATTCCGTAGCTTCGGGCGTCCAAAACCTCCCCCTGATGTAGATGAACTTCGAAAGCTGGCTTTACTTGGGCGGGCGCTTAAACTCAAGAGTCACACTCCTACCTTAAACCCCTACTACATTCAACCCTAAGCCCCAGCGCCTGAACCCTAGCCTGCATATAGGGTTTAGGGTTTAGGGTTTAGGGTTTAGGGTTTAGGAGTAGGGTTTAGGGTGTCGGGTTTAGGGTACTCAAGGTTCTCCGCATCAGGAATCAGGCCTTGCCCTGCCGAAGTTTGCACGTGCGCCGTTGCTGTGCCGTCGCCAGCTTGACCGAAAGGATCGTCACCTGCGTAGTGGCTTTAGGGTTTAGGGTTTAGGGTTTAGGGTTTAGGGTTTAGGGTGGCTACTAGTTGCGATCGATTGCATATGGGGAAAAGGGTACCCTTTTGGGGTTCTGATGATAAGGGATCCTACGATTTGGGGGGCTACATTAAGTAACCTAAGTACCTATAAACCCTATAAACCCTATAAACCCTGTAAACCCTATGTAAACCCTATGTAAACCCTATAGACCCTATAAACCCTATAAAACCTATAGACCCTATAAACCCCGTATAAACCCTATAGACCCGATAGACCCATCATCCCGATAAATCCTAGAAACCCTAAACCCTATAATTAAACCCTACAAGCCCTAAACCGGCAGCGTGATAATTCAGAGGTCCCAGCGCCCAAGTAGGGCTAGTTGAGCTCGAGATCCCTATAAACCCTATAAACCCTATAAACCCTATAAACCCTATAAACCCTATAAACCCTATAAACCCTATAAACCCTATAAACCCTGTAAACCCTGTAAACCCTATGTAAAGTTGAGGAGATGGAAAGATGCAGGCCTCCAGACTTAAACGCTCTGAACCCTGCGCCTCATCAGAGAGCCCAAGAGCCACAAGAGCCAGAAGTCCCAGCAGGTTTTAGGGTTCGGGGTTTTGCGGTAGGGTTCAGGGTTCAGGGTTCAGGGTTTAGGGTTTAGGGTTTAGGGTTTAGGGTTTAGGGTTTAGGGTTTAGGGTTTACAGGGTTTCGGGTTTCGGGTCCAGGGCTCCTTGGGGTTCGGAAGGGGAGGCCGCTTCGCGGCTAGAAAGCCCTGAACTCGAAGCATCAAACCCTAAACCCTAAACCCTAAACCCGAAACCCTGAACCCTGAGCCCTGAACCCTATAAACCCTAAGCCCCAAAAGGCCCTTGAACTGCATGAGCTTCCCCTGCGACCCTTCGACTCCTTCTGGGGGGGCGGGGGGGGGGGTGGGGGGTTGGGGTTCAGGCTTTTGGGTTTCTGGTTCGGCTGTAGGGTCTAGAGTCTAGGCTGTAGGGTTTAGGGGTTAAGGCTTAGGGCTTAGGGCTTAGGGTTTAGGGCTTAGGGCTTAGGGCTTAGGGTTTAGGGTTCAGGGGATGAGAAGTTCGACCTAGAAACGTCTCTCTGACTAACATATTTTGAGGGCATCGTACCCTAAGTTAAATAGCCCCTAAACCCTAAACCCTAAGCCCTCAACCCTCAACCCTAAACCCTATAACCCCCAACTGTCGAGCGTTTGGAGGCTGCGCGGTTTTAGGGTTGGGGTCTAGAAAGTCTAGGGTTTAGAGGGTTTCTAGGGTTCAGGGGGTTCGTTTAAAGACGTCAGAGTTGCATCGGATGCCGCCGCCGATGACATCTCTTGCAGCTGAGCTAGAATCCCGGCGCAAGGGTTGTGGTTCACTGAAATGCCTTTCACACCCAGAAAGCTGAGCACGACTCACATAGCAACGTACCCCTTTAAGCAAAGCTGAAACTGGTCCTGTTCTGCCGAGTTCATGTCTGAAAAAACTTAAACCGTCGCCATCTCCAAGCCGGCCAGCGGCGCGGAATTGAGTGTACGGAGGGCATGACGGAAGAATACGTTGCGCATGCGATGGACAGGCTGCCTAACCCCTCAGCCTGAGCAAGGCCTAGAACCCCAGATCTGAAATATGTTGCGCACGCAATGGCCAACCTGACTCTGAAAGGTCCGAAACCCTAAACCCTAAACCCTAAACCCTAAACCCTAAACCCTAAACCCTAAACCCTAACTCCCCTAAACCGTTAACCCCAAAAAAGAGGAGTTCAGGTTCAAGATCACCGCAGGGAGGCTTGAGGGTCGTCGAAGCCTGACTCTAAGCCTTCAGTCCATTTATATGTTAGGGTTTAGGGTTCAGGGTTCAGGGTTCAGGGTTTAGGGTTTAGGGTTGAGGGTTTCTGGGCTGGCGCGTTGTTGGCTTAGACTCTTGAAGCTGCTGAGGGGTTCAATCCTCTGAGCCTGCACCCGACCAAACCCTTAAACCCCAAACCGGAAAGCACCAAGAAAGAAAACCTGTAAACCCTGTAATTAAAGCCTGAAGCAATCCCCGAGCCCAAATCCCACAACTGACTCCAAAGCCCCCAACCCCAAAACCAGCAAACACAAAAACTTCAGAAGCCCTAGACCCCATAAAGCCTGCAAGCCTTGCAAGCCCGTAAGCTCCTAAACCCCAGCGGCTATCGACCCATCCCGGATCTTGACCCAAAGCTAAGGTGTTGAAGTGCGCGAGGGCACGTAATATTGCTGGGCGCCATCGCAGCTGGGGGGAGTAGCCATCGGCAAAAAAGCATTTGCAATTGCTCATGTATGCAGGATCCATGACTTGCGGATGCTGGAGACGATGATATATACACGTATATATACATATGCATATACACTACATTATATACATATAACTCCTAGGCTGATGAGTCCGTCTGTGTGCTCACTATAGGCCCGTGCTCAGCGGGATGGTGAGAGGTACTACTCTTTCCCTCAGCGCTTTCGAGCCCGCTTGGTCTGCTTCCTCTCCTGCTCCTGCCGCTTGCGCCAGGCCACCGCCCGCTTCCAGGCCTTCTCCACCTCCTTCTCCGAGAGATCCTTAGGCCGGAAGGTCTTGCGCCTGTTCTTCCCGTTGAAAAAGCAACGTGCATACCAGGCCTGCGAAAGGAGTTGCCACGTCACCTTCTCCGGCCCGAGCGGCTCGAAGCGCGGAAGATCCGAGAGCGGCTCCACCGGCACCACCTCCTCGTGCAGGCCCAGCTTCTTGGCCAGCTTCCGCGCCTTCGCCTCTGCCTCCGCCAGCGTCTCGAAGCTGCCGCCATACTTTTGCTTCTTCGTGCGTGGATTCCGAATTTCAACGTGAAACGTTCCAGCTGGTGTGCGACGAACGCCCCTCACTGTGCTTGTCGCGGGTTTCGGGGGCTTCAGCTTGCCCTGGCGCACCAGCTCCTCGCGGTGCGCTTTGGCCTCCGCCAGCGCGGCCGCCACCGCCTCGTCCTCAGCCAAGCCCTCCTTCATGTGCTTGGAGATGGGGAAGTTGAAGTTGAGCTGCTTCCTCTTGCCAGCTTTTTGATTCTGGAAGGACACGCGCCAGCTTCTCGCTTGCCTTTCCCAGCTGATGTTTTTCACGCCGCTCTGCCGCTCCAGGCCGCGGAAGCGAAGGAAGCGCCTCGTTAGCACGGGACATTCTGGTGCTGCGGTCTCGGAGCCCGCCGGAGAGGCGTCAGTGGCCGCCTGGCTCTCCTCGGGCGTGGTGCGCAAGGACTCGCTGGACGGACCGATGCGACGCCTCTTGCTAGGGCGAACCGGCCCAGCCTCATCGGCTTCTTCTGCTTCGTGCTTGACCACGCACGCCTGCTGGGCCTTGCACTCCCGCTTCCTTCCGGTCCTTGGCATCAAAGTCGGACGGCTTCACCACAAACCGCACTTGCTGGGTTTCTGCAGCATGCAATAAGCGCAAGTATAGTGTAAACAACACAGTGACCAAAAACGTGTAGATTCGGGGGCCTTCTCTCCCGAAACTAAACTCCGGAATGAAACCGCCCGGGTGCAACTGATTGGAGGGATCCAGATCATGAAGTGTGGTACTAAGGGGGTCGGAATGAATACTAATATTCTTCCCTTACGGTCCCAAAAGTGTATTCCTAGAATACCCCCAAAACCCTAAACCCTAAAACCTATAGTACTTTGTGCGGGCCTGGGGATTTTGTGACGTCGATCTCGGGGTCTCAAGGCTATAGGGGCTTGGCCTGCGCCATACACCCCAAAACAACCCAAAAAACCCTCTGAACTCTGAACCCCACAGCCCTATAAAGCAAACAGAGGTTCAGGGTTTAGGGTTTAGGGTTTAGGGTTTAGGGTTTAGGGTTTGGGGTTTGGGGTTTAGGGTCCGCCGACCCTGGCGGCGTGTTGGATAGGTTTCTGGAGGTGAAAACCTCCCTTTTTCAAACGCGGGGGGGGGGTAGGGGGGGTACCCCGGCAGCTTTTCCGTGGAGGGCCAGGCCCCACACCGCGTGTACTCATGGACCATAGGCGGTTTCGCACAGGGCATAGGGTTTTTTTGGGAAAAAACCCTCTTTTTCCCAAAACCCCCCCCCCCCTCCCCCTCCCCCCCCCTCCCCTGCCCCCCCCACCACCCCCCCTTCCTCTACCCCCCTCAAATCCGGTAAAAACTTTTCCTGCACCCTAAACCCTAAACCCTAAGCCCTCCCACCCTTAAGTTTAGGGTTCCGGTTTCGGTTTAGGCTGTACTGTGGGGTTTAGGGTTTAGGCTGTAGGGTTTAGGGTTTCGGCTGTAGGGTTTAGGGTCGGGTTTGGGTTTAGGGTTTGGCGCCGGGGGACGCTGCGCCGCTTGAGCCCTGAACAATGCTCCGGCGGGGTCGGCGGCTTGAGCCGGAGGCTCTTAAATTTAGGGTTTAGGGTTTAGGGTTTAGGGTGGGGTTTAGGTCCGGCTATCAAACGCTGCGAGGCCCTGATCCCGAGGCGCTACGAAGCTGAGCGGCGCCTGTCTTCTCAATGCAGGGTCCTGCGCCAAAATCAGGCTGAGGGTTTAGGGTTTAGGGTTTAGGGTTTAGGGTTTAGGGTTTAGGGTTTAGGGTTTAGGGTTTAGGGTTTAGGGTAGAGGCCACACGCTTCCATCTGCATGTCCTGCACTGCACATGGCCTCAAACAACACAACTTGCGCTGTTGCGCGTCCTCTCTTTCGGATCGTATATACAGGGTCGGTAAAAGTGCTACTATCCCGACGAATAGCGCTTGGTAATTCAGGGCTTGCAGGGCTGTAGTACAACAGGGGTTCCACGTGCTGACCCCTCCCCTCCTGGCCTCTGCCTCCTGAACCTCCTCCTTTGCTTCCTTGACCTCCGCCTTGGCCTCATTGACCTTCTCCTCGGCCTTCTCGACCTTCTTCTCCCACTCCTTTGCCCCTTCCAAGTCTCCTTTTTCGATGGCTTTCTGCCACTGTTTCTCCGCGAAGGCCAACCTCTGCACCGCCAGGTCGCGCAGCCTCAGGGCGAAGGCCACCTCTGTGTCCTGCCAGGTCCCACGAAACTAGCTTCACTCATGCAAGCAAGCCTAATGTCATGCTGCTACAGACCTGCAGAAGCAGACTTGACCAACTACAACGCATTGCTGGGGTATTGGGGGACCCCACCAGAAGCACTAAACCAGCTCCTGCTTGACTTTCTGCTTTGTGCCGGCAGCAATGCCAGCATCCTGCGTCAGCGGAAAAGTCTAACAAAGTAGGGGATGCCCATGGCCAAAACCAACGGTGAGATATGATCAGATGTACAGCATGGGGCAAGACCCAAGTAGCACAACAACTCTATACTCGTAGCTCCTTTCACCACCTGGACTCCTAACCCTAACATTGCCAGGATTATCCACTAAACGCGTAAGGCCGCAGTAAGTCTTATTGTGAAGCTGGCTACAAGTCCCGTTCTTGATACAGGGTTTCCAAAAATGGGGGTCCCATTTTGGACGAATACCGGTATAGGATTAAGATGTTCTGCCTAAACCCTAAACCCTAAACCCTAAACCCTAAACCCTAAACCCTAAACCCTAAACCCTAAACCCTAAACCCTAAACCCTAAACCCTAAACCCTAAACCCTAAACCCTAAACCCTAAACCCTAAGGGTAGATGTGGTGAGAGCTGTTGCAGTACTGCATCCTTGCAGTTGAGGCGCCCAAAAGCTGCCATGACTTAGGTCCACCCTGAAAAATGGCCTGACTTGGGGCATTTCAGAGCATGAGTCAGGGTTTAGGGTTTAGGGTTTAGGGTTTAGGATTTAGGGTTTAGGGTTCGTCACACTCTAGCCCTAAAACCCCCCAAATTCAACTCTGGGCCCCAGCCCAGCCCCTGAACCCTGGCTTGCATACGGGGTTTAGGGTTTAAGGGTTAAGGGTTTAGGGTTTAGGGTTTAGGGTTTAGGGTTTAGGGTTTAGGGTACTCAAGGTTCTGCGCATCAGGCCTTGCCCTGCCGCAGTCTGCGACTGCGCCGTTGCTGTGGGTCCGCCAGCTTGACCGAGAGCAGGATCACCTTGGCGGGGGGTTCTAAAAGAACATGAAACCATAGGCTTAGGTTTGCGGCTCTGGGCTCTGAGGTTTAGGGTTTGGGGTTTAGGGTTTAGGGCTAGGGTTTAGGGTTACTTGGAGGTTCAGGGTACTTAGAACCCCAATTATGACTGCACTTATAAGCCCCCTGTCCCCTGAGGCCCCTAAGTAGGCTATAAGTAGACATACAACTGGGGTTATATAAGTACCCATGTAACATGAAACCCTACCTGTAACACCAGTTACAGGTTGATGGGTTATACTATTGATTAAGGGGTAAATGCTACTAAACTGTAGGTAGTTGTGGTTACAGGTAGGCCCGATAAACCCTATAAGCCCTAAACCCTAAACCCTAAACCTAGAGTCTGTATGAACTGCCGAAACCCCTGGACCCTGCCCCCGTTCGATGCCTTCTAAGGTCATGTTTCTTCTAGTTTAGAGTAACGCCCCAAAACCCTGAACCCTAAACCCTAAACCCTAAACCCTAAACCGTAAACCCTAAACCCTAAACCCTTGCAGCGTCGTTTGGGGTTCAGTTCTCAGGAAGCCCGAAACCCTAACCCAGTTTAGGGCTTCATAGGGCTCTCCCAAAGCCAAGCCTAAGGGTTTATGGGGCTTAGGGTTTAGGGTTTAGGGTTTCGGGTTTAGGGTTTAAGGTTTAGGGTCTAGGGTCTAGGGTTTAGGGTTTAGGGTTTCGGGTTTAGGTAGCTGAATGAGTACACTTTGGACTTTTGGGGTACTGTAATCCACTATAGAACTGAAAGTGTGCACTTCTTGGGGGCTTGTGAACTCAGCATCCTCCCGAGGTTTTTCATTTGCGCGAAGCACTTGCCCAGTTCAAAACTGAACCTGTAGCGTGTATGTTTTACGATCAAGATGTCCACTTTTTTACCGATGGTTCCACAATTCACCCTGCGGAGCCTACCTTAACTCTTTCAGCTTGGGGAGTGGTGGCTGCTGTGCCAGATGCCTTGGACGGGGTAAAGTTGTTGAATGGCCTGCTGCCTGGGGGGATCCAATCAAACAACAGGGCAGAGTTACTGGCTGTCATTGTGGCAGTGCAGCTGGGGACAGGGGGCTCTATTTATTCGGATTCCGACATTACTGTGCAGGGGTTTAATCGACTTATCTCCGAGGGGTGGGTTCCTTGCAACTGGCTCCACAGTGCAAATCTTGATTTGTGGTTCTTGCGGCATGAAAGCTTGTCCCGATCCCCCCGCCCTAGGGTGATCCATAAGGTCAAAAGCCATCAAGACTGGCGAGTTGCCCCCAATCCTAGATTAGCGTGGTTATGGTATCATAACGATCTGGCGGACAGCTTTGCCAAGGAAGCGCTTAAAAAGTCCCCGCAGGCCATCCTTGAGGCCCACAAGTGTGCAGTGACGGCCCTTCGCAGCCTGAACAACAAACAAAAGCAGGTTTATAATTTGCAAAAACAGGTTGCAGAAATTTTTAATGGTCATAGACTCACGTTGAATCGCCCAAGCAGTTCCCCCGCAGAACCCCATGATGACTCGCTGCAACTGTTTCTGTGCAGACTTGGGATGCTAACAGCTGATAAAGGCTTTCCTTTCCCGGGGTTGCAACAGGAGCCGCAGTGGAGCTCATTCGTACTTTGTGCTCCGTTTGGGCATTTGCTGTATAAATGGTTGTGTGCACATACGTGGGTACCAGATGAAGACAGCATGTCTTTGCTGGAACTGTATTTCGCCTTCACGGTTGATGTAGGGTGGTTGGTGCCGGTTAATGTAGCCCCTTGGGTCTCTGCGAAGCGACCGGAGCAACTTCGCGACTCCAAACTCAAAGCCATATGGGCTCATGAGGTTCAGTTCCCTGAGCTCAAATGTCATCGCCAGTCTCTCCGTGCGCAGCTCGTTACGTTTGCTCATGTGCTGAGGGCAATCATGTCCATGTCCAGTTGCCCGTGGAAAATCGCACCATCTTTTGCCCTAAGGGCCTTTGGTGTCCCTTGTAAAGTGCCGGGACTCAAGTTTCGTTTGCAAGCGCTAAAACCCCATACTGTAGCCCTGCGAATGCTCAAAAGCATCCAGGGTAAACCGTACAGAGACTTCGCTAAGTCACCGTACGTTGCCCCTACGGCTCCCCTGGTTAACCAGCTCGAGTTCGGAGATGCGCGTACGATCTTTAATTGTGCCAGACGTCTTCACCGTCAAAGGCCTGGCCAGTGAATTCGTATTAATTCAGTCCTACGTAGTTTGTCTCCAAGGAGCTTCTTCGAGACAGTCCGCAAGACCGCATGCATAAACCCTAAACCCTAAACCCTGAACCCTAAACCCTAAACCGGAAGGGCTCTTATAAGTATTGTCAAAAGACGTCACCGTCAGACGCCGCCGCGGATGCCATCGCTTCGACCCGGGGCCGTTCGGAAGGGCTCCGAGATTTCACAGGGCAGCTTCTACTCTTTACTTTGTTTGGGGTTTAGGGTTTAGGGTTTAGGGTTTAGGGCTTAGGGCTTCTACTCTCTACTTTGGAGTAGGCCCTGAAGAAAATATATACGTTTAGCATTAACGGTTTCTAGAACGTTGGCTGGAGAGGCCCTGGACCAGAGTGGACGCCCGAATTAGGACACCCCTGACCAATGCTACACGAAGCTCACAGAGTTTCCTGTTGAGGCATAGCTGAAACAAGTCCTTAGCTGCGGAGATATGTCTGAAAGCCTGAAGCAGTACAAACCTATGCATCTCCAATCTCTGCTGCTGCGGGCAACATACAGCATATTGTGGAGCCAGCACATTCTTAAACCCTAACCCTAAACCCTAAACCCTAAACCCTAAACCCTAAACCCTAAACCCTAAACCCTAAACCCTAAACCTTACAGCCCTCTGCCCCTAGAGGCACAAGATACGGCCAACCTGCAGCTTGAGAACTGGGGGGGCTTAGGGTCGAGGGCCCTCAGCCCCGCTCTGCAACCCAAAACCCTACAGACTAGGGTTTAGGGTTTAGGGTTTAGGGTTTAGGGCTTGGGGTTTGGGGTTTGGGGTTTGGGGTTTAGGGTTTAGGGTTTAGGGTTTAGGGTTCAGGGTTCAGGGTTCAGGATTTAGGGTTGAGGGTTTAGGGTCTGAGTCTGGGGTTGAGGGTTCAGGTTTCGTAAACATGGGCAATGTTCTTGCATCAATATATTCCTGTTTTTATTCGCTTTATCATTTATCTTTTATTTTTCTTATCTTCATTTGTTTTAGCTTTTTTTTTTTGGGGGGGGGTTCGGCCATGCAGGGCTATAAGTATTGGGCAAGGCCATGGCTTTGGGACACCCAGACGCAAGCTTAAACCCACACACCCCACGGTACCCGACCCGTCCAACAACTCCTCTCTACAGCACCCGGAAATCCTAAACCCTAAACCCTAAACCCTAAACCCTAAACCCCAAACCCAAAAACCTCAAGGCCTCCAGCACGTCCCACTCTCAAAAGCTGAAACCCTAAACCCCAAACCCTAAAGAATAACTGAGAAGGAGCAAGGGTCCTACTGGAGGCAGCGCAAAAACGTACTTAGGGTTTAGGGTTTAGGGTTTAGGGTTTAGGGTTTAGGGTTTAGGGTTTAGGGTTTAGGGTTTAGGGTTTAGGGTTTAGGGCCAAGCTTGAACTCCTCAACGCCCAATCCAAACCACACCTCAACCAACCCAGACATGCCCTAGACTGCCGGACCCCAACAAGCTTGAAGCGCCCTAAGCCCTAAACCCCCCCTCAACCCTAAACCCTAAACCCTAAACCCTAAACCCTAAACCCTAAACCCTAAACCCTAAACCCTAAACCCTAAACCCTAAACCCTAAACCAGAATCAGCCGTGTGCCTGGGGGACTGCCACCACCGGCCCCATGTCCATGACTCCTCTGCGCTGCCCAAAGACTCCACTGGTTTAGGGTTTAGGGTTTAGGGCTTAGGGCTTCGGGCTTAGGGTTTAGGGGTTGGGGTTTATAGAGGGTTTAGGGCTTAGGGTTTGGGGTTTAGGGTTTAGATACTAAACCCTAAACCTGATCCACTCCAGTTTGTAACCATCCCCGAGTCGAAGAGCTCCAAACCGTAAACCCCCCCCCCACCCCTCATCCTCCGCCTCCGCACCCAAAACCCCAAACCCCAAACCCTAAACCCTAAACCGCACTCTAAATCTCTGGCACCAACAGCTCCCGGCACCCTAAACAAACCAAACCCGACCTGCACCCCAACCCCTCGACATTATTTCGGCATTTCCCCAAAAATGGGTTTGGGGTTTAGGGTTTAGGGTTTAAGGCATGAACCCTTACCCTCCCCCATCCCCCACCCCCCAAATTCTCCAGGAATCCAGGTTGTTGTTTGAGTTGCTTCACCCCTAAACCCTAAACCCTAAACCCCCAACCCTAAACCCTAGTTTCGGAACCCCCCCCCCCCCACCCCAAAACCAGCCTGCTCGTCCGCTAGGCTGGGCCCTGCAGGGCTGAGGTTTTTTGGGTGAGTAGCTCTCAAAACTCTTGGGGATTTTGGATTTGTTTGGGGTTGAGGGTTTAGAGTTTAGGGTTTAGGATTTTTTTATCTAGGGTTCGGAGTTCATTGTTATACAGGGTTCAGGGTTTAGGGTTCAGGGACGTTCAGGGTTCAGGGCTTAGGGCTGGGGTTTTGGATTTAGGGTTCAGCGCCCAGGTTCCTGACTTGCACCCGAACACCCCCAACACCCCAAACCCTAGACACCCTCAACCCCTCAACGATCTAAACCAACAAAAAAGCACTGAAGACTAGGGTTCAGGGTCTAGGGTTTAAGGTCTAGGATTTAGGTTTTAGGGCTTAGGGGTTAAAGGTTTAGGGTTTAGGGCTCTAAAGCCTGATAACACCTACGCAAACACAGGAGCCTCCGTGCCGGAAGCTCCCAGAGTATGCCACCATGCCCCAGGGGACGAACATGTTGAGCCTGGTTGGGCTGTTTAGGATTTGGGGGTTTCGGGGGTTCGGGTTTTAGGGTTTAGGGTTTCAGGGGGTTTTTGGGGGGTTTAGGGGGGTTCGGGGGTGTGCGGGGTTTGGGATTTTCTAGGGGCAGTGTCCCTTAGTATGGGCCCTCAAAAGGGTACCCCTTATGTACACTGTACAAATTGAGGGCCCATACTTCAGAACCCTCTGAAGGAGATACTTCAGAACCCTCTGAAGGAGGCTAGGGACCCTCTGAAGGGCCCATGAAACTACTCTAGGTTTTCGGGGGGGGGGAGGGGGGAGGGGCAGGGTGGGGGGGAGGGTAAGTTCAGGGCGCTGTTCGCGGAGCTTGAGGCCGCAGAGGTCAGGGTTGTGTGGACGTTTCGGCTTTGGGTTGTGAGGTGTTCGGGCTATGGTGCTTATTTCCAGGGCTTTGGGGTAGGTCGCAAGAAAGTGTGGGCACATTTGAGATCCTGGGGCTATAGTTTTTGGATGGCTTGGCGCACTCTGAAGGTATTCTGGTTCAGCTCCGAAATCCTAAGCCCTAAGCCCCCAACTAGGGAAACTTGTAGAACATGAACTTGCAAGCAAAAAACTCCCCAAAGCTCAAAAGAGCCAAACACCCTTCCTAACCCCCCCCCCCCCACCACCCAAACACCCTTCCTAACCCCCCCCCCCACCACCACAAAAAAAAAAAAAAGAACCACAGCTCAATCCGAACACCCCCCGTCCCCACCAAGAAAACTTCGCGCAGGCGGCCTGTAGGCATACTCTCTGGCTGGAACCCAAATTGGCATGCCCATGGCCTTAGGGTTTAGGGTTTAAGGGTTTTAGGGTTTTAGGGCTTAGGGTTTAGGGTTTAGGGTTTAGGGTTGAGGGTTGAGGGTTTAGGATTTAGGGTTTAGAGTTTAGGGTTTAGGGTTTAGGGTTTAGGGTTTTAGACATGGAGGATGCGCTGAACGATGGGTCTTTTTGTACCCAAAACCCGAAACCTTAGCGCATGTTCCCCCTTATACTAACAGTCCTCAATAGGGATTATTAGTACCCCCTACTATAATCCCTTGTAGGACTGTCAATATAAGGGGGAACATCCCAACCTAAACCTGACACACCGAGCGCAGAGCGTTCCACGTCCTTTTCTGCGCGCCAGTGGCTC